AAAACAAGATATACATTATAATATTTAAACATCTCAAAATTGTATAAATTATACATAGCCACTTTCCAAAGGCATCTGCTAGGAATAGCTTTTCATGTATTATTCTGTGTAGGCATATATAAAAATATGTACATAAGGTTCAGTGTGTATATACTTTAGACTACAAACATATTTTCATGTTTTACAGCTTACTTTTAAAAAACTTATTGTAATTTAAACAACATTCCATATTAATGCAAATAGGTCTCCCATATTCTTTTTTACAGTTCTGAGATATTAGCACTTTTTATAACTATACAACAATTTATCGGTTTTCCCAGGAAGTTTCAGTTTTCCATGGTTATAAATGATGCTTCCCTGGACATTCTGCACATGCGTCTTTTCATACCTGTGCAAGTGTGCCTATAAGACAAACATCCTTATGGTATAGATACTTGGTTCATGGTTTTTAGAAATGAGTCACTGCTACTCCTGTACTAGTGACTCAGTGTAGTCATAAAATCACTACATATTTGGTGGCTAAACTATAGAAATGTATTCCTACACTTCTGGAGGCCAAGGTACAGGGCTGCACTTCTTAAAAAGACTCCAACAGAGAATTTGTTCCATGCCTCTTACAGCTTTTGGAGGCAGTGGGTACTCCTTGGTGTTCATTGGCTTGTGGTCATATCACTTTCTACTTTGCCTCCATCTTCACATACCATCCGTTCCCTGTCTCCTCTTCTGTGTGTGTCTCTCTCTCAACTCCCTCTACCTTTCTTTATTATAAGCATACATGAGATTGTATTTTGGGCCACCCATGAAACCATTCTCACTCAAGAGTCTTAATTTAGTCACATCTTTTTCCACTTAAAATAATAGTAAAGTTTCTGAGCAGTGGGATATAAACATAACCATAATTCAGCCCACTACAATTGTTTTCCCACAATTCCAAACATATAATATTGGAAATCAGGTTACTTGTTTAATATGGAAGGTCCATTTAAAGTTTCTCATGGATAAATTTGTGTCAGTTATTTTTCCTCATTTGCCCATTATAAAAGCATCCATAGTTAATTTAATTTTTATTAATAACTATTATTCTCATACTCATTTTAGCTCTGGCAATAGTTTATATCTAAAAATAGATTTTGTGTTACTGACATTTTGTGGGCCATGCACTATTGATATCTTTCTTATCTAGATGTCAAAGTAAATCAGTCAATAGGATTTAAGAGATGGTTCACTTTGAAGAAGAAAATAGCCTCCGAGGATTAGATTCCAATTTTAATTCGATTAAATGTTAGGAAAGAAAAGGTGGTTTAGTTTAATTCCTGTTGTAAAACTGGGTGAGTTGTTACCTAAACTTAAATACTGTATATTAATTTGACATTGTTATACCCTTTCATATAAGAAAAGGGAAATAGCAAAAGACTAGTCCATTATTCTTCAAGGGACATATTAATTTGCTTAGGTTAAAACATAGGCCACTTTATAAGTAGGATGTAGAGAAAAGTCATGCTTTATCTATGGTGTCTAGAAGAATTTACGGTGAAGCAGATAGTTTCCAAACAACTATTGATTCAATTTTTGCATTTCTTTGCTGAGTACATTCTTCTCGGACTGTACTTTGAAACACAAACTTCTGGACAGCATAAACTATTGCTAAAGCTTCATATAATGCATGGCGGTTTAGGTTTGGGAAGTTGATGAAAGGATGATTCACAAAGTATGTAAGGAACATTATAATATTCTGTGCAACCCAATGAGAAAGAGCCTTGACTGTAATAGAAGCGTCTAGCTAGTCTATTAGTTTGCAGGTATCTGTAAAGCTGACAGAGGAAGTATCGTTGGTTCCTACTCAGACAACTTGTGGAGGTTTTGTGATAAATTTCCTTTTCTCTCCAGCAACCATATCATATCCAGATTATTTTCTGGTTAAACATTATATTCAGTAGCTCCTCATATGACTTTTTCACACACACAAAAAAAAAAGAGCCAGTGTTTTTAGTAGCCTTCAAGTCATTCTTTTGTTAATAGCAATAATACATCACAATCTGTAAACTCAAAAATGTTATGGAAAGCACAGATATAAATAGGCTGGAAGAATACAACTTTCAAGAGACTTTGAGGGATCAGCAGATGGCATAATGACTACGTCACTGGACTCCCACATAGTTGGCCACGGTTCGAGTCCCAGATCCAGTGGCTTAAACTCACGCCTGGTGCATGTGCATGCGTGCCCAAGATCCTGAGAGGAGAATGGAGAAGGGATTATGCTATGGCCATCCCCCCTGGGGGATGATTTCTCGCTTTCTTTCTCTCTGTCTCTCTCTTTCTTTCTGGTGAGCACATGCACCCTATAGCTAAAACCTCCCCCCCACACACACACAAAAAAAAGACTTTGAAGACTAGCTTTTTTTTTTTTTTTTGGAGAGGTTTTTTGCTATAGGGCACATACGCTTGCCAGACAATTGCCACGCAATTCCTTCTCTTCCATTCTCCTATCGGGATCTTGGGCACGCACGCACACGCGCCTGGCGTGAGTTTAAGCCACCGGGGCCAGGACTTGAACCTCGATCAACTACGTGGGAGTCCAGCGACATAGCCATTACGCTAACTGCTGGTCCCAAAGACTAGTTTTTGAGTTAAAAAAATGTATATGAATTCTGATGGATAAGACAAGCAAAGACATGTTCAAGAATCAAAATTTGAAAATTCACTGTAGGAATAAAACTGAAGGAGTCTAATTACATGCAGAAGGAGTAGTCTCCAAGTTTGTATGATAAAGTGGAATGAGCAACAATAACGCTAATAAAAATACTAGTCACGGTACCAATTTAATCACCAACTGAACAGTATGATTTTATTAGCACCACTGTTGCTGATACCACTTTAGTGTACCAACTTGGACTACATTTTGGAAAGTAAGCTGTATCTCAGATCGTTTATGCCCTCATCTGTAAAATGCAATTCAAAATACCAGTTTATTTGAGTTCATAGGCTAATGAAAATTAATTAGCTCAATCTTTAAAAAAGAATTGAAAGCTCTAAACTATCATTTACTTTTTTCATGCACCTTGATATCACCAAAGCCCATTATAAAATGTGTTATATACATACAGATTGCTAAGAAACAAGGTATTAGCAGATACCACAGTCCGACTTCGCTTATAATAATTAACCATGCTTTTGTGAATAGAGTAAGTTTTATGCCGCTTAGATGTCAGTAAACAACTCCACAAGTTATTCCTTTCTCAAATTAAAGGAAAGGCTTCCCTTTTCATAAAAATATTTGGCTTACTTTTTTAAAATTCAAATGCAAATATTCTAAAACATTACCTTTTATTTTTAAAACTGAAGGCCAGTATATGCATAAATATGTATAAGACATACTATGATACGTTAATATATCTTGACACAGGAATATATAATAGATTAATATAGGTATAACTCCCATTCAGAGGGTTATTGGATTATTTACCTGTTTGTTGAAAGGAATCTGAGATGTGGGTTTCTCTTTCTGAAAGGAAATGTGCCAGTTAGATTAAGGCCTGTGAAATTTCATAGATATGTTGGTTATAGAATTTGGACTCATCAGGATCTCCTTTGTTCTGGTCCCTATGCTGGACTGTATAAACCAAGAGTAAAATTTAACATAGACTGGGATGTCCGAGCCCAATTTTCAGATATACTTCAAGTTAAACTCAGGGTAGTTCTCTCTACCAGAAGAAATAAACATTTTTTTTCTCCTCTCAGAATGTAAAGGTTTTCTTTATTTGGATAGGCTGGTTACTTGAGATAGGTTGGAGCTGCCACTCTGAATTACCCAACTTAAACAAGCCACAGAGGCCCCTGGTAGGACCATAGCTGAAGAGAGACTTGACTGCTCATATCCCAGCTCTCACAAAACCAATGAGTGAACTCTTCATTCCTAGCACAGGTCAAGCCAATTTTTTAGAGTTTATCCATCCGTGCTTCTCCAACTCCCTTATTTATCTTCATTCTAGGCTCTACCTTCAGTTTCTCACTGACGTGCCAATTAATGATGGAACACAGACTTTTTTTTTCTTATCGTCATACAAACCTCCATCCACCAGGTGGCTGCATTACCTGTGTGCAGCACTCGAGACTAATAGGTGGTCCTGGAAGGCAGGCAACTGGTTATTTTATTGAAAGAATTGGCTTTTTCGTAGCTTTAATCTGGGCAAAGGAAGACTTGGCCCAAACAAAATAAACTTACTCTAAGTATTATCAGCACCATATTTAAGTTTAAATAAAGATATTTGATGTGTTAAAGATATAGAATATTGGCCTATCACCCAGAAATGTTTAGAAAATTTAAAGTTTAAATCAGAAGATCTCTAAATTTATTTTCCTTTTATGACGTGTCTCATTGTCAGAAGTATTTTTGGTACTATTTCTCATCATTCTTTTAAATTTTCTACTTATTTCCAATGGGTATTTGGAAATTTTCTATTTATTGTCTATGGGTATTTAATTTTATCTAATTGAATTTCAGAGCAATTTATTTTAATGCATATTGGGAATTATTTTAGTGACAGTTAATGAATACCAATGTTTTCCTTTTCACAACGGTAAGTAGGTAATTTAAAAAAAAAAAACCAGGATTCTTATTTCTTAAAGAATTATTTATTTTATTAATTATTATTATTTTGACCAGAGGGACAGAAGTAGAAAGTGAGAAAGCGAGCTGCCAGGTTTGGTACTCGAACCACAGTTGGTCATGTGGGAGTCCAGCACCTTAACCACTATGCTGCCTACTGGAACCCAGGATTCTTAGTATCTTACACTTTTCATTTTTTTTCCAATATACATTTGAATATTTTTGTCATATGTTAACAAGTGTATCAATAGATTGACAAAGAAAAATATGTATTTTTTGTCAATTATTGGAAGATAGTCACAATTTTTTCAGGTGAGTTAAATAAAGCAAGTGGCTTTAGTGAGGCTTATGGAATTCAATTATATATGTAACACTTGTTTTTCTGTTTCTTTAGATAATCCAGTATCTGCTCTACCTTTCCTGCTTTGTATTGCCTTCAAGTATCGCAGTTCAAGGTTTAGTGATTAGGCTTAAAGATTCAACGAGTAATCCAAAGAAATCTGTTCAAGTGGGCATCTGTCCACAGGTAAAACTATATTTTAACTCTTTTTTTTTCTTTTTGTATGGATATGACCACAAATAAAAGGAACAGGTATAATAGCCATAAGTTGTATAAGATATTACAGAATTGTGTATAGGGGAAAGAAACATAAAGCCAATGTGTGAATACGAATTGGGTCTTGACTATTGGTCAAGAATTGCTAGTAAAGAAATGATTCTCTTTGAAATGAAATTTTCCACAGGGTAATTAGTTCTGGGTCTGCTTGCTAATGAATTGGTTAAGAGATCATAAAGTATCACTTTATATGAATGAAACAAAATTGGTAGTAGTTTAGAAAGTGAAGAGGTATGTGAGTTGTGACTTGCAACCTGGAGCCTGAAGTTATTAAAATCAAGGCAATGTGCTGGAAACAAGACAAAAAGATCGTGTACTGAAATAATAAACTGATGAGCCATAAAAAAATAACACAAGAACCAAGAAAAAGATTATGGAGAAAAAACATGACTCAATTATTAAAAAGGCAAGGAAAATTTTGAGAGGAATGATATGTATAGAAAATACATAGAATGATATGTATGAGAAAATAGCTTAATTTCCATAACAAAGTAGAGACAATTCAAGCAGCTGACAATTAAAAAATAAACATAATGTTTCAGGCAAAATACATTAGAGAAACACAAATTTAATAGGAACTGAAAATCAGAATTCCCAGTAGATAATTCTTAAGGCTCAAATTTAGAAAAATGGGAAATATGCTTTCATTGATTATCTTTGGAAGGCTGACGTGCAGATTATAAATTGACATCTAGAATTGCTAAAGAAGGTAAAAGATGTCTATGGAGATAATTGTAACCTAGAAGAGATTAACGTGTGTGTATGTTTGTGTTTTGGAGATAGA